TTTTTGTAAAAGTTTTACATGGCTCTTATTAAAGGTCTTGGAGCTCTCTCTCTCCCTCTCTCTTTCTCTGATTCCTTTCTTTATTTATCTATATATATATATATATATATATCTCTCTCTCTCTCTCTCTCTGTCTGTATGTGTACATACATAATCATACATATATATATATATATATATACATATGTATATACACACATGTGTGTGTGTGTGCATGCAGCTTTGTGCAAACATGTGTATGTGTGTATATATATATATAGATGTATATTCACACACATACATGCATTGCAGTACGCACATACATTTACTTCTTGTACACACATACATATATGTATATATACATATATATATATAGATCTAGGTAGGGTTTCTGCTATAAGTTACAACTGCTGCTGCTGCGGCTGCCACGGCTGCCTTCGCTGCAGCTGGTGTGATGAGGATAGCAATCATGACAACGATCGGTGACAGCGGGATCGATGGTGAGGTTGCTGACCAGAACGATGACCATGATGTTCAGGAGGATTCAGGAGGATAGCCATCGTTCACCATATCCCGAGGCATCACTGCAATCGCACTGCTTCTTACCAGGGTTACCAGGGCAGAGTGATCACGAGCATCATCTTCCAATCTAACCTCCCTAGACGCTTAACCGCATCAGAATTGGATCTCGATCATGATGTGCAGTGTGACCAAAGCTGAATACTGTCCCTACTAGAGCCCATGATCATAGTTATAGTATGACATACCACATGAATATAAGGCCTCTATGCAAAACTTCTGCTATGTCCCTCAATTTTACAACCTGGCATAGACCCTAAATGCAACCATATTCTACTTAAAACCCTAAGCCCATAAACCCTAAACCCCGAGTCCCCTATGTTAGCTTTCTCTCAGGTTCCCTTGGCACGAGGGCTCACAGTATCGCTATCTTTTGCAGCCCTGTGGCTGAAGAGCGTGTAGAGCCGTTAAAGGGGTTTGAATTTTAGGGTTCCGTTAAGGGCTCCTTTACGGGATATATAGGGTTGAGGGTTTAAGATTTTACGGTTTGTTTTTTTTTGTTGAGTGTTTTTCTGGTTCAGGCTTGAAGGTTGAGGTTTGGTTTTAGGGTTTTGTGTTTTATGGTTTCGGTGTTCATGATGTGGGTGTCAGGTCCAGGCTTTGTTTGGGTAGGGATTCTTGTTCCGGGTTTGTGGAGCCCCAACCAACCCCGTTCGCTTTGCCACTTCACTGTTCTTCTGTCAGGCATCTTTCACTCACTTGCAGTATGAACACCCTGAAATGAGCCGTGTTCTTTTGTCAGGCTTCGTTCACTCACTTGCAGTATAACTACCTGAAATGAGCCCTGCCTCAAAGCCCGTTGTTGTCACCTAAATGTGAGTCCTCCGTGTCGTTGATGTGGTTGCTTACAGAGAACCTAGCTCCCCGGTTTTCGGGTTTATAAGTTTTTAGGGTTTACCTGGACCATACAAAACCTTCCTTTTTGGTGTTCCCTGTCGTGATTTCTACGTACATGTCCTCAAAAAGGTAGGTTATTTGGGGTGCAGGTAGGGTTTAGAAAATCTTGAGCTGTGTAGCATCAAGTCCCAAATCTCGAGCGACCTTTGAAATGTATGAGATGTCGTTTTGAGGGACCTAAAACCTAAACCTAAACCTAGTAGTAGAGTAGGGAACCTTTAACTTTAATGTGGTAGTTAGCCCCTATAGAATCCCTATATAACCAAAAAAAGTTAACCGTTAGTTCGCCATGATACCCGACAAGTAAGTACCTAGAGTCTCCAATATCCCTTAATTAAGGAGTATACCTTAAATTATAGTAGGATCCCTAATATCATTTTAGGAATATACCTTAATTAAGGGGTATTGCAGTCCCTGGGTAAACCCTAGGCTCGACACGCGAAACCTTCATTACCGAGGAATCATAACTCGGTTCTGGGCATCCGCGACGTTGCCCGGGACTTCAATGCATCCGTCAGCGTGGCGTGGCACGAGGCCAGAAAGGGGAAGTCGCATGTAGATCCGATCACAGGATTTAGGATTAAGAATTATATATACAGTATAACTAGGGCAAATTTTGTTGTAATTTGTGTACTAGTTGGATGTTAAGAGTTTAAGGGTGCAAGGGTGCAGGGCCGTGTGCTTAGGGTCTTCAGCGATCAGGCTTGTAGGGTGCTGTGACCAGTCAGACGACTGACCCAAGGAAAAATGATAAAACTCGAAGCTGGATGTATGTCGGAATACAACCAAATCCGAAGACCTTGTTCGGCCTTCCCTGAAGCCTGATACGTTCATCTAGGCCCTCCAAAGAAAGTCGGACATGAGTCATTCAGGTGTGTTTGTGTCCGTACATGTATGTGCGCGTGTGTATACATGCAGGTAACCTGGTAGATGTCAATGTGTGCATGTATCCAACATGTGCATACATGTTGTATCGGCACGAGCTGCATACATGCGGGCAGGTGTGCACTGCCGTACTGATTGATTGAGGCATGCATGCCTCTCTCGTACTCTCTCACTCCGCTCCCTTTGTGAGGGTATTTTGCATATTACATAACTTAAATCGAAATCAGTGCATATACACACATACCTACATACACACTTCATACAGACGGACTGTCAGTCAGTCAGACAGACAGACAGACCGACGGACAGACAAATAGACAGACAGACCGACGGACAGATAAAAAGACAGACAGACCGACAGACAGACAGACAAACAGATAGACAGAGGGCTACTTCTGCTGCTGTTGCTGCTGTTGCTGCTGAACCTCGAAGCATAGCGCTGCGAGGATGTCGATGAATGGTTGGATGAGTCGGGGGCTCGGTGGGTCTGAAAAATCTAAATCCGCAGTCCCCCGAAAGCTTAAAAGCCGCAGAAGAGTCTACTAGAAAGCCCACCAAAACCCTAAACCCCTAAACCCTAAACCCAGGCCTGTTCTAAGAAGCGCGAAACTTGTTGAACCATTCGCGTTGGACAGAACAGTGTCAGACAACGCAGCTTCGATCTTTCGTCTCAGGTCATCTCTAATCACCCTTGACGTTCTTCTGGTTGGCTCTTAGGACTTCAATTTTTTGGGGTTTCTATATGAACTGCATATACAGTATGGAGGCTAAAAGCTTAACTTTTAGGAGGGTTTCAGAAGTCAGAACCCTAAACCCTGTTCTAAGTATTAAGGCCCCTATATTAATCGCAGGGGATATTTCATTGTAAGTAGAATTAGCTTCTCTATACCCCTGGTTACAAAGTCCCTTGAACCTTCGAACAACAAGCCTGCCTTCTGCTCAGGATTCCCTAAATACTACGTGCTACACGCCAGACCTCGAAACTGTCTTTGCCCAAAACCAGAACAAGTAAGTTTCTTAACCGTAAACCAACAACAGAACAACACTCCAAAGCCCTAAACCCTAAGCCCTAAACCCTAAGCCCTAAACCCTAAGCCCTAAACCCTAAGCCCTAAACCCTAAGCCCTAAACCCTAAAGCGGCCTTGAACCCTAGCCGCTCTATGGTCGAAGCTCGCCTTTGGTCTTAGGCTATCCCTCCAAGGACCTCATTGTGAGGGCCCTAGACCCCATAAGGACCCCATAATAAGGTCCCTGGAGGCATAGGGTAAATACAAGGCCGGAATAGTTGCAGTTAGTGCCATTAGGGTTTAAGGTGTAGGATCTAGGGGTGGAATAGTTGCAGTTAGTGCCATTAGGGTTTAAGGTTTAGGGTCTAGGGGTTAATGCCAATTTTAGTGCTTAGAGTTCTTGGTAAAGGGTTCCTAGGACCCAGAGTAGGCCCTTATTCCCTGTTTGTAGGGTTCAGGTTCCTACATAAGCCCCTTAAGACCAAAAAGGGCACCCTTTTTATTCCTAGGTTACTGCTGGGTCTAGGTTCTGTTTGGTTGCCAAGACCCTAAGGCAGCCCCCAAGCCCTAAAGCCAAAACGCTGCACCTGTGGTCCCTAGGCCCTAGGCCTTGTTACACCACCTACATTCGTAGGGGTCCTTGTAGGTATAATATGTAGCTCGCCCTAAACCCTAAACCCTACTTGGAGGATCATGGGACTTAGTAAGTAAGGTCATAAGTACCTTGATCGGGGGGTATAAAAAAGATAAGTATGTTACCTTACTTATAACCCCAGTTACTATGTCCCATGATCCGTTAAGTAGTGGTAGTATATACTTAGGCCTTGAAGTACCCATATAGGGACCCCTTTAAGGCCTAGGTATATACTATATGGGTACATAGAGCCTTAGGCCTTAGGGTTAGTGTTCTCGCTCTACCCACAGGCCCCATAGTAGTTCCTTTTTGGGGTTGATGTTTAGAATCCTATAAGGTAGTCCCCAAGAAGGAACTACCATGGGGCCTCTGGGCACGCCCTAAAACCTTAAGTATCATGGGTTGACTGGGTTCAGGGTTTAGGCTTGGACCTGCTTTTGGTGACCCTTGTAAGACGATAAGGTTGAAGCCAGAGGAATGCTGGCAGATGATTTCACTACGCAGTGCGAATAGAAGCCCTCCGCATGTTTGGTCTTTCCAAAGACACAGTCAAGGCTAAGCACTTTTCTCAGCCTTGACTTTTTGCCCAGCATGTTCAGCCCCGGGCCAGATACTTTGTTGAGGAACTGCTCTGTTGCCCTAGGAAATATGCGGGTGCTTGTCAAAATTCTGGTCCCTTTTTTGGGTACCCTAAATATTAGGTGCCGCATTATAATAGAGACCCAAAGGGGGACCATAATATTGACAACTACCCATGGGCATCAAGGACACTAGGCATTACGCCTTAGTCTTCGACGACGCTGTCTTCTGCAGCGACTAGAGCCTGCTGAAGGGAATGATCATTGGCGGATCCTTTCTCAAAGAGGAAAAGGAGGGACCCTTAACGGGGACCCCTACCCTATACTGGGCTATATAATGGGAATATAATAGCTATATTAAGGGTACATACCTAGGGGTCCTTACTAAGGGTCCCTCCTTTTACCCTTGGACTTTCCAGAGTACTCCACCATCCGGCCCGATGCGAGTGGCAACTGGGCCCGAGCTGCAGAGCGAGAACCTGGCACAAGTGTGCCTTTCGTTCCTTTTCAAACCGATGTTGCCGGACGGCAAAGTGGAGACCTTGGTCTATGACGTGAAAGCCATGCTGTCTGCCTTGAGGAAACTGAGAAGGTCCTGGAAGTTCTTGGCTGGTCGGGGCACCGGTGGTGGCAATAAATGGCCCGGTGTTTCTGAACGTCTCGATCGACGAACCGAAACATGGGATGTTCGGATGATGCCACGCCGACTTGCTCAGGTCAGCGGCATTTCACAACTGAGGTGAACGGATTTGTGTGGGCAAGAACCTGCTAGTTTGGAGACTAGAACCCAAACAGGAGCATTGAATCCCCATGACCAGCCCCTGCTTGGAGTATAAAGCAGGGGAGGCTCTGACAACGACGGTCCCTTATCCAGGTGTCCTGACTATCAGGAGCCTATCTATTACCCAAGGTCTATGCTAGGCCCCCCCATATCATGCACAGTTATGCTTCACCGCTTGAGTCTTATCAAACTCTGTAGCCGAAAGCCATCAAACAGGAAATCCCCCAAACCTGTACCTCCATAAGCTTGGTGTAAACACACTACGACTACGAAGGCATTGTGTTGTGGCAGTTTGGTACATCTCGATTCATTTGCTGGTTCGCAAGTCACCGGATCCTTTCACCCTCAACCCAGAACCCTGAACCCCATAGACCCTTAGCCCTAAACCCTTAGGCCTACCTGTTGATCCACTTTTTAAGGGTTAGACCTTATAATTCAAGGGTAATAACCTACTATTCTACAGGGTTTGGGGTCACAGGTAGGTCCAGACTAGTATCTGGAACGCTTAACCCCAAGCCCTAGCCCAGATTAGCATCCGGCAAGGCTTAACCCGAAGCCCTAAAACCCCAGACCCCAAACCCTAAACCCCTAAACTCTAAACCCTAAAAAACCTTGACCCATAAACTCTATAAGCCCTAAAACCCCAGACCCTCTAAACCCCAGACCCAGCACTCGCAGAGGCCCTCCAGCAAACCCTGACCCAGGTTGGCAAGCCAGCCTGAGGATGGACCCGACGGACCTCTTTCTTTGTCCTTTTGTCTCCTTATGGGTTTAGGCGTTTAGGGTTTAGGATTTAGGGGTTTAGGGTTTACGGTTAAGGGTTTAGGAGTTTGGTTTAGGGTTTAGGGTGTATGAAAGAGTGATATGACGTTTAGTGTTTCATTTTGTGGTTCTAAGCTGTGTTTCTGTTTCGGTTTTCTTGGTGTCAAAGTTCTGCTCTTGCACTGGGGTCGCGTATGTGCAGCTCACGGAGAAACTCCACCATGAGCACTGCCAAATAATCACGCACTTACTTACTAAACTTGTGACCTTTTGCATGTGCTTGGTGACGCCTACAGTTGGTAGGTATAGTGCCTGAACCATGCCTGTAGCCCCAAACCCTGCAAAAAAACAACTGTACCCCCCCAGTTCCGGAAACCCTAAGCTGATCCCAAGCTGTAAACCCTAGCTGCGAAAGGGTGCCAGGACATCAGAGGCTGCACCAAATACGGTTCCGATACTAAGGGATAAAGGGCCACATAAACATAGACTACTGGGGCGCACACCCTAAATTCAATGGGATATTGCCTTCAGCAAACTCAGCTTTGGTTGGCTTATGTTGGCTTTGCCACTACCTCTTAACGTCTGAAGTATACTACTCATTTCAGGGGGTATTGAGCTTTGAGCCCTTTGTCAAGATACACATTGCTATTCCCATTGCTTGTGCTGGCGACTAGACCCTATTGCAATCCCTAAACCTTAAACAGTCCTGACCTTAAACCCGTCACCAAGCCTCAGTTTCGAAGCCGTAGTAGCCTAAGTGTGCCAAACTCCTACACCGCTAAACCATCCTAAACCCGGATTCCTTATGCTTAACCATCTCAAACCCTAAACCGCCCCCTAAACCGCAGATCTCAGGTTCGCATACCCGGCGGAAGAGAACTTCGCTGGACAGATCTTCCCCCTTCGCTGGGCCGCGAAGATCGGCTCGAGAGCGGGCAATCTCAGGAACAGATGCTCGGTTTAGGGGTTTTCTGGTTTCGGGGTTGGGGGGTTTGGGGGTTTAGGGTTTGAGGGTTTAGGGTTTGGGATTCCGGGTGTAGGTGGACTGGGGCCTTGTTAATTAACTAGAATCGGGGGCGATTCGGGGTTTGTGTGGCGCCATTAGGATTCACTGTCGATTCTAGAGAGGGCTCCGGAATTTGGGGTTCTACGGTTGATGATATAAATCCTGCACTACCTTAAGGCCTCTAAACTATGGCAATTAAGGCGTATTCCTTATTATGGGTAATGCAGGCAGTAGTTGTTGCTTTGTGCTTGGCTTTCTTCCTCAGGCCAGTATGGAACCTGAACCCTAGAGCTCCAAATCCTAAACTTCCCTAAGGCTCCATGTACCCATATAGTACATACTTAGGCCTTAAAGTACCTATATGGGGACCCCTTTAAGGCTTAAGGATCTACTATAAAGGGGTACAAGGAGCCTTTGGGCTTCCAAAAGTGGAACTATGGTCCTCTTGGATATATCAGAGCCAAGCACAGGTTTCCAGGAGGCTTTAAGGGTGCAACGGTTGATGATATAAATTTTGCATTACCTTAAGGACCCTTAACTTTGGGAATTGTGGTTAAGTTTGGGAAATGCAGGATTTATATCATCAACCGAAGTAGTCCTCATTTCTGACTTCGAGAAATTACCCGACAAGGGCGTGATGTCCTATAGCAGAGAGTACGTGACCCTCTGCGACCCTCGAGTACCTGCATAAGGTCTACTTGAAGGCCAAAGTATATGTTATGTGCGTACATGGACCTTAAACCCTAAACCCTAAATCCTTGTGATACCCGTATAGGCCAAGGTGTAATTATGTTGTATACGTACATGGGCCTCAAACCCTAAACCCTAAACCCTTCTGATGCGCATATAGAACCCTTGAAGGAACCCCTGAAGGAAGCCTATTTGGCACATGGACCCTCACGGATAGAGAATACTTGAAACCTAAGGGAGAGCTCAAGGAAGCTCGGCTTGAGAGAGAGGACCAGTAACTAGGGTTTAGAGTTTTAAAGTTAAGGGTTTTAGGGTTTAGGGTGTTAGGGTTTAGGGTTTTAGGGTTTAGGGTTTAGGGGCCTTCGTTTTGAGAGGCGTTCGGACCATGCGGCATAAGTATGATAAACAGGGTTGAGGGTTTGGGTTGAGGGTTTAGGGTTGAGGGTTTAGGGTTTAGGGTTGTATCGTGGGGGCGAAAGGGTTTCAGCCCTTTCAAAGTGCAAAGACTTAGGCACAGTCTGCTGCAGTGAAAGACTCAACCACGCCGCCCGTGATGAGGGGTCTGGGCATCTGAAATGAATGTTGCCTGCTCCCTCTCCATCTTTGCTGCACGTTATCCCACTTCACATGCTAAAGGACGTTTCAATGCACCAGGATACATGTCTAGACTGTCACGAACCCTTCCCAACTAAGCATGACTAACCCACGACAAAGAATTGCAGGACGTGGCGCGTTCTTCTTGATGCCGCCAAGTTTACTGCCAGCCATCCATTGAACTTGACAGAGGCCCCACATTGCGGCAGCGGTTTTGGCAGGCTTCTGGTGCACCCCTAACTACTTGGAGGTTCACGAGACTTAGTAATTGGGGCTATAAATAATAAGGTACCTATACTTATTAGTACTTATAACCCCAGTTAAGGTACTTATAACTGACTTTCTAAGTCCCATACTCGACCCCTGTTTTTGGATACTTAGTTTTATGGTTAGGATCTGGTGTATAGAGATGTAGGTACCCTGATAAGGGAGGTAGGGTTTGAGCCTGCAGGTATGCTTCAAAACAAAAACCCGATAGAGCTCCACAGCCACACCCTAAGGCTCCATGTACCCATATAGTATATACTGAGGCCTTAAATTACCTATATAAGGACGGACCTCTGCAAGGCTTAAGTATCTACTATAAGGGTACATGCAGCCTTTGGGACAGCTCTAAGCACGGGTCTTAGTCGAAGGACAGCGGTTTGCATACTTACAGTCCTTCGGTCGGGTCCAGCTTAAGGGCAGTTACACGGAAGTCCCTAAGGGACAGAAGAACAGCGATCGTGTTATTGACACCCAAACCATATTCTAATTATTGAGGATCCGGTATATAATCGCAGACCCCCTAACCCCCCCTAAACCCTAAACCCTAATAAACCCTAACCCCTAAACTCCAGTACAGAAGCGAATTCTTCAATGAAGGCCTTTTTTGGACCCGGGACCTCGTAGGTAAGTTTCCGATCGACCGGGACCCCAAGGGCCTTTAATAGAGTCCTTATGGCCCGTATTTGGGGGTAGATTAGAGGGTAGTAGGGAGGTCTAGGTATGGGGCTTGGGGTTTGTTGGGTCGTAGGTTAAGGGTTTAGGGTGTAGGGGTTCGAGACTGCGAGTCTAACGAGGCTAGGGGTTTGGTCTATACCTAGACTAGAGGGTCTCGTGGTACTTCGTAACTAAGGTGAGTTATCAATAAGGCAACTGCAGCGCCATAGTACCCTGATAGAAACCCTTTGTATAGCTACCTTGAAGCTTATGACCCTATTTACTCTGCCCCACGATCCTACAAGTAGGGTCCCTGAGTCCAACAAAGCCTGAACCCACGAGCCCTGGTGGATTCCTTAATCAAAGGGGAAAAGGAGGGACCCTTAATGGGGACCCCTACCCTATAATTGGCTATATGATGGGTATATAATGGCTAGGGTCCCTCCTTTTACCCTTGGACTTAAGTGTGCTGGAGGAGTGGCAACCATTCCTTGAACCTTATAACTAGGTAGGGCTTTGGCACATTTTATATTTGCTCTTATTGGGCTTAAGAAGATCTTACCTACTAATAGTTTTCAGAGGCTTTAAAAGCACCTCCTAGACAAGCTTTAAGCCCAAAGTCTTAAACCTTCTCTAAACCTTTAAACCTTCTTTGGAACCCTGAAGCTTGTTCAAACCTTCCGAGCCCTAAACTCTAAACCTTCTTTAAACCGTTTTTCGAAACCTTAAGCCTGAACCTTCTTAAAAACCTTCTTCTGCACCCGAAGTGTTTGCCTAAAGGACTCCTTCATGGGTTCCTTTGAAGTTTCTTTCAGGAATCTGTAGCCGATTTTGTTATTTATATGGTTCTTTGTGAGGTATTATAAGGCTTGAGGTTAGGGCTTAAGCTGCATAAGGGTACATGTACCTGTGTAGCATGGACTTGGCCTTAGGGGGTTGCTGTGTAAATAGGAAAACTCGGACCATAGTATAGACCATTCGGGTACATGGACCCTCAGAAGAAACAAACCTTGGCAGACAGCTTGATGGCTAGATATGTGTACGCATTGGACAAAAAAGTGAGCAGGTTATCGCGCGTCTCTTTGCAGTGGTGTCAGCATGGGTACTATAGGGGCCTAAATGCTTGTAATGCTTGTAATGCTTGTTCCGGAAACACGCTCAAACTCGTCAGAAGAGTGTGAGGGCACGTGGATGGGTTGCGCGCTACCTTCAGTAGAAAACTGACAGGTCGTTGCAACGCATCAGTGTTTTGGCACAGGATCACAGGCTCTCCAGGTAGCACAGTATTGTATGCCTGACCACAAAGCCTACAAAGCGCACCCTGAGGACGTCAACCTCAGTGTTAGTGCTGGAGTGGAAAAGCACCATGACGAACTCATAGTCAGAGCAGCCAACAGGCAGGCACTCCGTCAGACCACTTTCTTCCAAGTGTGGCCGGGTTTCTGGGGGATGCCTTAATTACATTTGTAGTATAATGTACCCCAAAACCCGATTCTGATTATTAAAGCCCCTACAGTACGACTTTGCCTGTGTGCTTGCCAAAGCGCGAGCGAATAGCTCCAAGGGTCTTGGAAACCTGTACCTAGAGGCTCATACCCTACCCCTTGTTTAGGATACCTGGTCTTGTTGTTAGGATCTGCTGTATAGAGAAATAGGTACCCTAAAAAGGGGTAGGGTATGAGCCTGGCTGAAGACCTCGTGCTCGAGTGTCATCGAAATGCTGTTAGTTTTGTCAAGCACCAGCAAGAAAGACAACCCCAAAGTCTTGACCTGTCACAACTCCACAAGCGCAAGCATGAGTCCGAACCAGTTCTGAAGCTTAGATGGCCTTTCCCGTTTAAACCCTGCGCTCCCAAGCGCCAACAACGTCGCAATTGCAACTGCGAGCCACTGGCCCAAAAGACAGTCCTGAAAGCCGTGACCTAAAGCGTAACCATAAGATCGAAAATGCATCACTGACTCGTTGTTCAACATGTCGATTACTGTGAAAGTCGGACTGCTCAGTGGCAAGACTGCTACTTTGAGAGCCCGCTTGGAAGATTCAGTGGGGGCATTGAAATCTCGGTCGCAGACTGCACTTGGAGTCGGAAGTGGGCGGCTGCTATGTTCATCTGGCAACACTCTAGATGTATGTGCGCTGCTGAAGACAGTAAGCATGCAGACTGATGATGCATTGATCTTGCACGTAAGCCATGTTCAAGCATGCGGCACTAACGCAGCCTTTGCTGCCATTCTGGGTGATTCGTCTGCTGTGGCCTGGGGTCATGCTTGCTATGGTGGTGACAGCAGCGCTGTGCAGGATCAGCTCAGGAATGTGAAGCAGATCCAATCCTCCATGAGCGGCGCTTTTGCTGCAATTCTTTGCGATGGATCTGTCGTGACCTGGGGTGCTGCTGATTCTGGTGGTGACAGCAGTGCTGTGCAGTCTAGGCTGAGGAATGTGCAGCAGATCCAGGCTGCTTACTGTGCATTTGCTGCCGTTCTGGCCGATGGATCCGTCGTGACCTGAGGTGATGCTCGCTATGGTGCTGACAGTCGTATTGTGCAGGATGAGCTGAAGAACGTGCAGCAGATCCAAGCCTCTGAAAGAGCATTTGCAGCCATTCTTGGCGACGGATCTGTCGTGACCTGGGGGGATCCTGAGGAGGGTGGTGACAGCAGTGCCGTGCAGGGTCAGCTGAAAAATGTGTGCGGGATCCAAGCCACTCGTGCCGCTTTTGCTGCAATTGTTGGTGATAGTTCGGTCGTGGCGTGGGGTGCTGCGGGGGAGGGTGGTGACAGTAGTGCTGCACAGGGTCAGCTGCAAAATGTGCAGCAGATCCAAGCCTCTTGGTCGGCATTTGCTGCCATTCTTGAGGATGGATCTGTTGTCACCTGGGGTGATGCTGGACGTGGTGGCGACAGTAGTTCTGTGCAGAGTCAGCTCAAGACTGTGCGGCAGATTCAAGCCACTGGAGGCGCTTTTGCGGCCATTCTCGGCGATGGATCTGTCGTGACCTGGGGGGATCCTGAGCAGGGTGGTGACAGCAGTGCCGTGCAAGATCAGCTGAAGACTGTGCACCAGATCCAAGCTACCGCATGTGCATTTGCTGCCGTTCTGGCCCATGGATCCGTCGTGACCTGGGGTGATGCTCGCTATGGCGGTGACAGTAGCGCTGTGCAGCATCAGCTGCAGAACGTTCAGCAGATCCAAGCCACAAGATCTGCTTTCGCTGCCATTCGGGTCGATGGATCGGTGGTGTCGTGGGGTCATACTCTTCGTGGTGGCGACAGTAGTGCTGTGCAAGAACAGCTGAAGAATGTGCAGCAGATCCAGGCCTCCATGGGTGCCTTCGCCGCTTTCCAGGGTGATGGAGCCATTGTGACCTGGGGTGGCATTGACCATGGTGGTGACAGCAGCGCCGTGCAAGATCAGCTGACAGACTTGTAGCAGATCTGCTTTTGTGTGTTTCTCAGTCTTCATTGCATGTTGATCCTTTCTTGCCACATATTTCGGAACAGCACTTCCCAAACACCAAACCCGTAGACCCGAAGCCCTGCCGCATAAGCATCGGGAATCGGGCACCATCACTGCTCGCGAGTCCTGGTTGCACCGATGCAAACGAACTCAAAGCCCGTAGCGTCAAGACAGCAACGTGCAATGCCGGAAAGCCTCCAAATCTTAGATCAAAGGGTCTAGGATTTAGGGTTTGGGGTTATGTCCCGATAAGACCCGGCAGAACCCACATATGTGCATCGATCTATGTAGTTGACATTTGGTTGTTGTCGGTTGCTTTTGTCGTCTTGAACTACTGCCACTATTGCTATTAAGTTCTGTCCTATGATCATAGTTATATTTATTGATATATAACACTATTACTATTAGTAGTAGTAGTAGTAGTAGTAGTAGTAGTAGTAGTAGTAGTAGTAGTAGTAGTAGTAGTAGTAGTAGTAGTAGTAGTAGTAGTAGTAGTAGTAGTACTAGTAGTACTAGTAGAACTAGTAGTCGTAGTAGTAGTAGTAGTAGTAGTAGTAGTAGTAGTACTACTACTACTACTACTACTACTACTTCCACTACCACAACTACCACTGCTACGACTACTACTACTACTACGACGACGACGACTACTACTACGACTACTACGACTACTACGACGACTACTACTACTACTACTACTACTACTACTACTAGTACTACTTCTTCTTCTACTACCACAACTACTACTGCTACGACTACTACTACCACTACGACGACGACTACTACTACGACTACTACGACGGCTACTACTACTACTACTACTACTACTACTACTACAGCTACTACTACTACTACTACTACTACTACTACTACTACTACTACTACGACGACGACTGCCACTGATCATACGAATAACAGTAGTACTGGTACTAATATTGTTAAATGCTTTAAACTATTGGTACTATGTGTGTGTGTTGCTCTTACTGTTGTTAGTGTCATTTCCGTCTTTATTAGTTCTAGTAGTAGTAGTAGCCGTCATCGTCGCCGTAGCTGTAGCAGTAGGAAGTAGCAGGAGCAGGGGCAGGAGCAGAAGCAGGAGTAGGAGCAGGAGCAGGAACAGGAGCAGGGAGCACGAGCAGTAATTAGTAATTATAGGAGTTTGAATAGGAACAGATGCAGGAGCAGGGGTTGGAGTAGGAGTAGGGGTAGGGGTAGGGGTAGGGGTAGGAGGAGGAGCAGGAGTAGGAGTAGGAGTAGGGGTAGGGGTAGGGGTAGGGGCAGGGGTAGGGGTAGGGGTAGGGGGAAGGGGTAGGGGTGGGGGTAGGGGTAGGGGTCGGGGGAGGGGTAGGGGTAGGGGTAGGGGTAGGGGTAGGGGTAGGGGTAGGGGTAGGAGGAGGAGCAGGAGGAGTAGGAGTAGTCGTAGTAGTAGTCGTCGTAGTGGTGCAATTTTATCATTTCCTACTTTTGCAATATGGTTATATTGCTGTTGCAATAGTATTTCCACTAGTGTTTATTGCTGCTACTGCCACTGTTACTGATAGTTAACGATAACCATCGTAACAACAGTTATATTAGCGTTACGATTATTTTTGTTATCATCACTAGTATTTTATCGGAGCTGTCTTTTGATATTACTAGGTCTTGGCTCCTGCCTTACTAGACGCCATCTCCAGAGCTGTTGAAGTTAGGTACTGCCCCCTTACAGTAAGAGTCTATAATAGGGCTACTATTAAGGCCCTAACATATCTATACTATGAATCTTAGTCAACTATTACTGAGTGGGGGCCTTACCCAATATGGGTGGTTGTCAAAATTAGGGTCCCTTTTTGGATCCCCATTATCATACGGCACCGATCATTTAGGGTACCCAAAAAGGGATCCTAATTTTGACAACTACCCATATGTGATGAGCCCTGAGCTCTATAGATCCCTTATAGGAACTTTTAAAGCAACCCTTAAAGGATCCCTTTAAAGGAGCCCATAATTTTGAAGTTCATGAGAGGCCCAAGCTGACTTCGTGACGCTCTCCTTCTACAAGCTCTTCGGCCGCCCGGCTCCAGCCTGGAATTTACCGAGCACCGAACCCCAAACCGAAACCTCGAACGGACTCCCTAGATCCTAAACCTTATATGCCATTAGCGGGGATCCCGAACTCCCCAGCCCTTAAGCTAAACCCCCCAATCCCCGACCACCAAGCCCTAAACCCCGAGCCCGAAGCCCTGGAACCCCAAGCCGTAAACTAGTGTTGATGATATAAATCCTGCATCACCTTAAGAACTCTAAACTATGGGAATTATGGTAGATGCCTTATTGTGGTTCATGCAGGATTTATATCATCAACCGTAGTGGGTGACGAGGGCCTTCCGGTTGTAGGCACCGCAATTTCCCCTTCCCTTCGGTCCATGTACCCATATAGAGATACATGAACCGCAAAGTACCTAATATATGGGGACGACATTGTACTATATGAGTACATGGACCCATAGGGCTTGTTATTGGTTTCAAAAGGGTCGGGTGGTTCACGCAGAGGGTTTCACAAGGTCTCATAAGGCTTTGCTGAGTTAGGTTACAGGGGCATATAGGGTTGCAAAACAACCGCTAGCTATTGTGGGCATTACTGAAGCATCAAGGGTTGTGTAGGAACCTGATTTGGAACCCTGGCCCCGTAATCCCCCAAATATTAAGACCCATACGAAGAACCCTACTCTGATAAAGGCCAGGGTTTCTTAGTCAGGTTCCTACACTACCCTATGGCCCTATGGCTCGTCAGGGTTTAGGGCTCAGAGGGCCCAAACGCCTGACATCCTCCTAGCCTGAACTAGGCTTAGTTCTCCAATACTGAACCTTTGTATGAAAGTTGTTGCCGGTTATGTCTTTGACTTTGGTGACGCTTGCCAGTGACCTTAGACCTTTCAAAATTACAGTCCCTTGTACGGTTGATTCTTTACCTACCACAAATTATTTGCTTCAGGACCCAACGTGGATGTAAGCTTAGATATCCCTACCTTGTTGGGCTTTATCTGAAGGGGGTTTGCATTCATTGGGCTTCATCGGTTTTTATATGGATGGTTGTGAAAACTATGGTCCCTTTTTGGGTCCCTGTTATAGTACGGCACGTAATGTTTAGGGTGCCCAAAAAGGGACCACAATTTTGACAACCGCCCATATGGGATGTCCCTATCCTGATTTCTGCTTCGGTGCTTGTTTGGGATCCAACTTGCTCGTCTTGAGCTGGCATGGCTGTTAGTGGAGCTGGCCCCAGTCCCGAACCTAGACCCATCCAGCCTGAACCCCAAACCCTAAATTCTACCTTGAGTAAGCAATGTACCTTTAAAAAAGGGACATGGCCGTCCGGAAGTACAGAATGATACGTTTGCCCTTAAGGGTATCCTAGTTGCTCTAGGTGAACTCTACTGCAAACTGAGGCTATCCAACCGGCGTCGGTGCACTCATCATCCGCACTCAGACTGCCTTCGAGCTGAAGAAGCACTACTGGGGAGGCCTGGGTTCGGTCATTTGGGGTTTACATAGGGGGTGGGGGTGGGTGTGGGTGGGGGTTTCGGCATTTTGGGGGTCCTTACAGCAAGGATCCTACTACTATGGGTACTATATTAGGGTCCCTTGTTTTCGGAAACTCCCAATCCTGAACCCTAAACCGGTTCAGGGTTTGCCCTAAGGCTCCTGGACCCTCGTAGTGAGATCCCAAACCTTAGCCCCCAAAGCCCGAACCCTCCGCCTGAAAGCCCATGACCCCTTTGGGAGCTTTAGAGTAGGGCCTGGCCTGGAGCCTTGGGCTGCCTGCGGGCATGCTGGTAAACATTGAGACGTCTTTTGCAGTTTTGCGAGGTAGGGCTTTGGGACATCTTGTATTTTCCCTTATGGGGCTTAGGAGGATCTTACTTACTAATATTTAAACAAGTCTTTAACAGCACCTCCTAGTCTGGGTTTCGGGCACTGACACACTGGCGAAGGAAGCTGAAGCATCTCAGAACCTAATATTCGTTGATGAACTGTGCAGACTCAGACAACGGGGACACAGGAAACACTGTCAGGGTGCGCGATGTGGGCTCAGGGCATACGGATGTACGTAGTCGGTTTGCAACAGTTTTTTGTTCATAGTATGATGACCTTGTTTGATGAAAGCCGGCTATCCCCACCCTCACATTCTGAAGTGCAGCGTGGAAGCAGGTTGAATCGTCTGAGTGGGCTTTATGTACGAGTAGCTGCTGTAATGCGGTTGTGAGCATTTTTCCTCGTTGTGTCGCCGAACCTCTCGATACCAGGTTGAGGGTTACTGCAGTGAGATTTCGGGTGGTGACTTCGCAACGGAGACCACTGCCTTGTGTTGCAGCTGAATTTTGGGGCGTTCTCGAATTGACCATGGGAATGAGCGAGAGAAGGACAGAGGAGCCACGACAATTTAAACCTTAAGCCCGAGACCCTAAACCCCAGACTCTAGACCCCTTTCTAAACCCTAAACCCTATCAAGCCTATCAACCCTCAGCCCTATCAACCCCAGACCCTATAAACCCTATCAGCCCTAAGCCCTATCAACCCCAGACCCTATAAATCCAGCCCTAAGCCCTGTCAACCCCAAACCCTAAAGCTGTAAGCCCTCACAACCTTCGACCCTAAACCCCATCCCCAAGCCTAACCCTAAGGCTCAAAATAGCCCAAAAGCCTTAAATAGTAAGGTCTTTGGGCCCAAAAGCCTTAAAATTTGAGTCCTTAGAGCCTAAGGGTAAAGATCAAATGGACGCCTGCTAGTCCAGGCGGCTCCGTGTCCTTGGCCGGCGCCGGGCGCACAGACAGTGACGACCTGAAGGCCGGTTAGGGTTCCTGTAGGGTTCCTTTAGGGTTCCTTTAAGGGTTCCTTTAAGGGTTCCTTTAAAGGTTGCTTTACGGGTTACTTTAAGGGTTCCTTTAAAGGTTCCTTTAAGGGTTCCTGCAAGGATGTTGTTTTAATGTTGGTTTGTAGTGTTTGTTGTGTATGTTGTGTCTTGCGGGTTTTGCTTGGATTTTCGGTGTTAGATAGGATTTGGGGGGCTTTGGGAATGGGATAGGATTCTAGGGCATTGGGGTTTGTTCTGCTTGCGTTCTGTTGAGTGGGTGCTGGGCGTTGAGGTTTTCATGCGCGGATTAGGGGCTTGGGGTTCCAGGCCATTGATTTTTGGGATCGGGAGTTGCAGTTGTGGGTTTTAACCCTTAGGCTCTAAGAGCTCACATTTTAAGGCCTTTGGGCCCAAAGACCGCACTACAAAAGCCTTTTGGGCCATTTCAAGCCTTAGGGCAGGACTTTCGCGCACTAATCAGGTGTAGGTATGCGGCTATTCTTGGTCAGGGGTGTTACGTGGTTTGGGCCCGCTCTAGATGCGAGACCCGTGGCCACCATCAGGAGCCATGCACGGAACCATTTCAGTCAGCAACGATTGTGAACACTTCGATGCAGGCTGAACGTACTCATACCATCGGTACTACCCCCACTTTGTCACAGTCGGATAATCTTCACGTTATACTTATATATAGCTCTCAATATGACCCAGAATAACAGTTGTGACAAAGTGGGGGCAGTACCCCACCTCGTACTTCATAAATCAGACTGACCCCGAAGTCGATTCCCTCCAGACATCCGGACCCCAAGCCCTTATACAACCGCTTTAAGGAACCCTTACAAGAACTCCTTTTAAGGACTCCCCAAGAAACCCACGTAAAGAAACCCCGTAAGGAACGTTCAAAAGGAACCCTGAGAAGAGCCCTCGAATGAACCCGGAACCCAATGAAGGAGCACTGCGCTCGAAGCGGACCCTTAAACAGGACTGGGTTCTTCTCACGGAACTTAACTTACGGTACCATAACAAGCAAGCCCGATCATTTGTTGTAGATCCGTATTAACTTGAGGTACCATTATTTGGAAGCCGTAATTTCTGTTCACAAAAGATCAACCATAGATCCCTTGACTGGTAGCCCGAACCTTAATCCCCAAACGCACTGTGGTAGCTTAACCTAAGTGCCTAAAGAAGAGCCGAGAACAAACGCTAAGCCCCTAAACCCTATACCTAAACCGAGAACGATCGCGTGGAGAGGTTTTCAAGGGCCGCATCGCGGAGCGGTTCGAGGACTTGCGTCCACTGCGGGTTTAGGGCTTTTGGGGGTCAGGGCTTTAGGGTTTAGGGTTTAGGGTTCCCTTAAGGGTCCATGTACCCAAATAATATGTACATTGGCCCCAAAGTACCTGAATAGGGACTGCTTTAAGGCCTAAGTATATACTATTTGGGTACATGGACCCTTAGGAGTTTGCATCATCGCTAGATTTGTCTCGTGAGGCTGCAGGATAGCAGTTCCAACGTGCACTCTGAAGCTCAACTTCCCAGTCGCCAAGGTTCCACTGAAACCTCCAAAACCGTTTCGGGTTTAGAGTGGCGTTGCCTCAGTTTTTAAGCTTCCTCCTTCCACCTATAGCCAATTGTATGTATAGTTACCTTGTTTATAACCGGACCATAGTTACTAAGTCCCATGAACCTCCAAGTAACTCCAAGCTCCAGGACACTGTAACGGTCCAGGGTTTAGGGTTGAGGGTTTGGGGTGTACGGGGGTATGGAAGCTTGACTGTTTATTATAAACTGTGAGTATCTCGAAAAATCACACTTTAAACCCTGCCTACACCCCAAACCCCGAAAGCCCTAAGCATCCAAACCCTGAACCCTTAGCCCGGAAGAACCCTGAACCCTTAACCCCTCAGCCCTAAACCCTATAAACCCTATAAGCCCTAACCCCTATAAACCCTAAACCCCTAAACCCTAAACCCTCAACGCCTAACCCCTGAGCCCTAAACCCTAAACCCTAAACCCCTAAACCCTAAACCCTTAACGCCTAACCCCTGAGCCCTAAACCCCGCGAAAGGACGGCACAGTGGCCTTCCTGGGGATCGCCTCGCTCCGGCACGGCTTTGAGGCCTTGGACAGAGTTGGAGGCCGGCACGCTTTCGGGCTGGCAAAAGGGGTTCCTTTAAAGGGATCTATAAGGGTTCCTAGGGTTCCTTTAAAGGGATCTATAAGGGTTCCTAGGGTTCCTTTAAAGGGATCTATAAGGCTTTAGGGGTTTAGGGGTTTAGGGGTTAGGGGTTTAGGGTTTAGGGTTTAGGGTTTAGGGGTTTAGGGTTTGGGGTTTAGGGGTTTAGGGGTTTAGGGGTTTAGAGTTGAGGGTCCAATTTAAGGTACCCTAAACGGGTTCCTGTAAGGGTACTACAAGGCTTTGAGGTTTTAAGTGATACAGTTTAAGGGCTTCCATTAAGGGTTTCGTGTATAGGGTTCTTTTAAGGGTTCCTCTAAAGTGTTTTGAGTTGATTTGTTGTGTGAAGGGTTCCGGTGGGTTTTCTTTTGAAGGGTGTCACGGTGGTTCAAGGTTACAGGTTAAGGGTTATATGGGGCTTAACGGGGCCTACAAGGGTCTTATACAGTTTCGATATGGGTTCCATAAGGGGTTTATGCTATCCTTTGGCTTGGGTTTAGTGCTTCTGTGGTTTAGAGGTAAATACTGTACTTGGAGGTTCATGCGACTTAGTAGCTACAGTTGACAGTTATAAGTGCCTTAACTGGGATTATAGCAAAATATATGTCTAGCTAGCTTAATTATAACCCTAGTTACTAAGTCCCATGAACCTTCAAGTACCCGGAAATGCAAGTAAGCGGGCTCCTCGGACCCTGTGAGCATCGAAGTCTAGCCCACGAAATCTCAAACGGATTCAGGATTTAGGGTGTAGGGGCAGTGACCTACTGGGCAGCAAGGCCTTCAGGTGGAGGCTGCTAGGTTGGGTGCATGGGCTTTTTCGTCCGAGCTTGCGGCTCGTGGGCTGGAACTTGTGAGTAAACAGGCGGTGCTTGGAGGTTCATGGGACCTTAGTAACTACTCAAAGGGCTCCTTAAAAGGCTCCTTAAAGGGATCTATAGGGTTTAGGGTTTAGGGTCTACTTGGAGGTTCATGGGACTTAGTAACTTCAGTTATAAGTACCTTAACTGGGGTGACAAGTAATTATAAGTATAGTTACCTTAATTATACCCGTAATTACTAAGTCCCATGAACCTCTAAGTGCACATGTGACCCTGCCGCTGTCGCAGAGGCATGGCGGCGATTGAGCAGCACACCCGCTGCCCGGCAGAGTGCTCCAACCGGACTCCAACCCCTAAAGCCTAAACCCCAAACCGTCTAGCAGGAGGGCCAGGCAAGGCTGCTGTGGCACCAGGTTCTGTATCAGGGGTTTAGGGAAGAAGTATGTGACAAACATAGGCGGGTGGACCCTGGAATCCTGTATCCTGCCTACGCTACGTATTTGTTGTACCGTAATAGAACCCTTACAGGAAACCCTTGAAAGGGATGCTTATATTCCCTCATCGGCTGCACCTCCACGTGGCCCAGTCGTACACTTGGGACTGTATAATAACCCCGTGCTGTTAAGTTTAGTCTTGACATGTCCGTGTTCGGTTTTGATGGTTTTCCGTGGAAAACGATAAGAAGAAAATAAAACGATAGCAAAGCATAACGAAACGGTAACGCATTTTTCGTAGTAAAACGATAAGAAGAATATTAAACGATAACAACACTCAGGGATAAGGATTTTTATACGGGGTTATTATACAACCCCACTTGCAGAAACCTTTTGCAACCCTTATTGATCCCTTTTTGGGCAGCCCCTTTTGTTACTAAGTCTCATGAACTTCCAAGTAGCGCCTTCAAGGGAGCCGCCGGGAAAGCCAAGGCTGCCTGGCAGCCGAACTCCACAGCCAGCTTATTGATCTGCAGCATAGCAATGGCAGCCCTGCCAGTGGGCTGCAGTAAGTTTAGGGCTTTGGGTTTAGGGAGTTTTTGGTTCGGTTCGGCTGCAGGATTCAGGATAGAGGGTGTAGCTTGAGTTGGGGGTTCCCGGATAGGTTAGGGATTTAAATTTAGGGTTTGTTGTTTCGCATGGGGCACCTTGTTTCAGGCATGACTCACCGGAGAAAGCCACATCATATGTACATTCTGTGTTTGAGGATGGGGTTATTGAGGGTCTCATTAGTGTATGCTCAAGTAGTTAGGGGTTGTTGAGAGTCTGTGCTGATATCTATGATCAGGGCTATGGGGTTCTGGGTATCAAGTTTCATATGCTTTCGGGTTCAGTAGGATTGAATGTTTGCGTCCAGACGCCCTTGTAACTTCAGGCGTCTGGGTTGCTGAGGCGGTGTAGTACAGAAGCTTGGATGCTTACCAATATTTGCCTTAGGGTTCCTCTTTGTGCGTAGAGTACATGTAATGTACTCCCAAACCTTATTCGTTTTTTGGTCCTCGAGATTGTGGAATAATTTTGGTGAGTGCACATAGGGCTCCGGAGGGGTATCGCTCAGTGTTTTTGTACAAGGTGTTTTCTTTCCTTAGTGGAGGCTAGCCATGCAAGCCCTGCATCAAGTAGTGTTGTTTCGACTCCCCAAAGACTGCGTAGTACAGACTGTGAAAAACCAACATCACGGAATGCCCACTTGTAATCCTTGTGCCGTTATGGGCTAACGTACCTCCAAAACCGTGTTCTAGTCATCGAGACCCTCTGTATACACCTTGAACCTGAATTTAAAACGGAGTTTAGGGGTTAGGGTTCAGGGGAGCACCAGCAATCCTGTACAAGTCGCTTCTTTCAATAACCATATTGAACTTCTAAGTGGAGCCAAAAGCAATATTAATCGAAGCACATCCAAGGCACGCATTTTTGGTTTAGGGCTTCGGTTGTAAACAAAGCCTTACTTGGTGGGTCTGGTGGGTTATGTGTTTAGGCTTTGTTTAGGGTTTAGGCTTTAGGGGTATAGTGAATCAACGACATAGTGACATAGTGTCATCTGCAAGCCCTCCAATGACCCTCGTTTCCCATCTTTCTGACCCTACTGAACAACTCTCCGGAGCATCCAGGTGTTGCATAAGTCGCGGATACTTCCAAGAACACCCAACTGAAAATTGCAGTAGCCCGGGTTGTACGTGGAGCCGTACTTGCAGATTTTCCCTTACGTAACGAACCGGGGAACCCCCCTCTCCCCGCGGCCCCACCATTGCCCAGTGCCTGTGCATCGTTATTAGCCTTGTTGCACAAGCTTATGGAGTTTCCGTCACATTGCCAACGATTCGTAGTACGACGACCAATAACGGTTTCCGATCTCGGTATTTCCTGCTTGCGGCGTCCCTTCGAAGATTCCATCGCCTTAGCCTTAAGTGCCTGAACACGAAACCGAAATAGTGTCAATAGGATTAGTGCGGCACCGAATTACTAATTAGTGAATACTAAGAGTACCAAACAAGATCTG